TGTTAATGTTGAACAATGGAGGATGCACCTGTTTCTGCTGTATTTATGTCTCTGCCATGCTCATCTTCATACATATATCAGATATGTCCTGCTGGAATGTGACATTATTTGTGTCATACAGGTGTGATGGATCATATAAGTCAATAGGGTGTCAGAATTTATACTTCTCATCCAATCACAGTTAAATTCACTCTGTCCAGGAGGCGCAGTATATCTGGACAAGTTTTGTAAAGAACAAGCCAAAATGAAATAGGAGTAACATCTTTCTACTTCTTAAACAAATATATGGAGTAGAAGTAAAAAGTCAGCTGAAATATAATTACTCAAGAATAGTATAGATAACAAACATTTCTAAAGTACAGTAATGAAGCATTTGTACTTTGTTACTTTACAACTTTGACATATAGGTACTGGATAGTGACGTTCCCTGCAGAGTTCAACCTGGATTTGGGGTTGATCCGGATCACAGAGGAGTTCAGAGAAGTGGCAACTCAGCTTGGCTGCGAGGAGCATTTTAAACTCATTGACATCTCCACCATGTAAGCCCAACAAATACTGCACCTCATAACTGTTTATTAAAACATGTAGTTTTAGATCTAAACGCTGATTGTTTCTACATTATTCTCACAGTCCATCGTACGACTGGATGCGGAAACTGACCCAGAGGAAGAAGCAGGTTAAGAAAGGCAAGGCGTCGCTGTTGTTTGACCATTTGGAGCCCATGGAGCTGGCAGAGCATCTCACCTTTCTGGAGTTCAAGTCGATACGGAGAATATCAGTAAGTCTTATTGTAAGGTCATCCAAGCCAAGACATAGCCTGAAGCATTTGAATTTTAAAGATGTTGAAAAAGTAATAATGCAACCAATTTTCTTCCAAAATAATTGCGGCATTGACTTCATTTAGTTTATGTTATTCTAGAACCATAYATATGTAGTTCTCCTACAACAAAGAAATCAGAAACTACAGCCCTAAACATCCAGGTCTGAATACCCCACTGATATTCATATGGCCTACCTTTTTCAAAGTGTACTCCAGTAAATTAAATCATGAGGTCAGTACAAATTAGGCTGAGGTGGGTACAGTGTGGCAGATGGCAAAAAAGAAAAAAGTGCATGGCGAATAATATCCAATAAAAAGCCATGATTTTTTATTGGTCTTGCAAAATGTTGCCATGTGGCTTGCTGATTGAAAATCTCAGATTTCAGTGAGATCTTAGTAAAATGTTTGCCCATTTTCTTAAAAATGTTGAGTTGATTGTCACCAATAGTCTCAGCCCAATGAGACATGAGCTTAAGAGATGCTGATATACAGGAACAGCTCAAGAAATTAGAATATCATGAAAAGTTCATTTTTTAGAGTGAAATATTAAATACAGTAACCAGCTTTTGGTACTTTTGACRGTGTGGGCAGTGGCCAAGTCCTAATTAACTAACAAATGTCCTGTTCAAGTCAAGCCACTGAGCTGCACTGTAATCCCTAACAGTTGTACTAGCTCATAACTGATAAGGTCACAGCACTCAAATGTCATTGGAGTTGACCAAACTATAAAGTTTTGAGCTCTGTTGAGATTTATGCCACTTTGACTGAAGGGCTCAATATTTTATAGCTAATTTGTRTGTAATGCTCAAAAAGTTTAGGAACCATACACTAGTGTTCTGGTGGGTGGGTCTTATCTCTCCCTCAGTTAAGATGAGTCAGCCATCTTGAATTTGCCTTGACGCAGAGAAGTTTTTGCCAGCCTGCACTGAAAAAACAAACTTTTGTGTGTATTAAAATTTATTTAATTATTCTTTTAAATTTTACAAAAAATTATCAAAATCTCTAAACTACTAGAATTTACTGAATAAACAATATGCATTATATTATATATCAATATTACTGTACAAAAAAAGTAAATGCTAATATTATTTTACCAGTAATATTTAAGTGCTTTTTCTGGACAGCACATAAACATGAATATATTAAGTAATTTCTACTCTTCTGGGCTAAAACTGAGGGTGCATGCACACACAAAGGCTGCTGCTCCTTATTCCCTTGCTTCACTTTTCAAAGAGAGGAGAAGACATGGTCAAAATAAAACATAAGTTGTCTGGTTTCTTTTGCTTGAATTCATTTGTTGGTGTGCAATAGATTGATGGCATAATGCATATTGTAGCATTCTGTTGTGTTTGTCTGTTTGTCATGTCACTGCAGTGGAGGATTGTGGGTAGGATTCATGTTTGTTGTTGTTAAATCATTTTAGGGAATTGTTTAACATTGTTCTTTCAGCAATTAGTCTGTTGTGTTACTCTAATTTTTGTGTTCATTATTTGTTAACTTGTGTTAAACCATTCAGCAGAAGTAACCATAAGTGAGAGTGGTAGGCCTAGTCATTAATAAGACCTGTGAGTTTCGCTTTATCTGTGTTGTTCATGAAGAAGAATCCAACAAAGGTTCTTCAAAACTGCCACCTGGTGGTGAAGTCTTGAACAACATGAGCTACACTTCTGTCTGTAGCTGTGAGGTGTCATGATATTGTGCTTGACGCATGTGCACTGTTATGAGTTGAAAATATAGAAAAATTTGAGTGTATTTCCAGCATTATATGAGTTTAAAATATTGAAAAATTTAAGTGAACTACTCTCTTATCATAGGTTGAGAAAACTTAATACTTATAAGGTAACATTGACATAATTTAAAACAACTGCACATGCAATTTTTATTTTATGTAAACTGAAAACATTTAAAAGCRTCACTAAAATGTTTTTTTTGTGTAATTTGTTACAAAATAAATTTTGATTTCTGTGAACTTATTAGGGTTTACAGTGTGAGGAGGCAAAGAACAGGACTGTTACTCAGTGGTCCAAAGTCTTCTTTTCAGATAAGTCATTTGGAAATCAAGGAGGAGTGGAAAGGAACATAATCCATGTTGCTTAAAGTCCAACGTGAGGTTTCCACAGTCAGTAACGATTTGAGGAGTCAACTCATCTGCTGGTGCAGGTCCACTGGGTTTTCTGAAGTCCACAGTTACTGCAGGAAATTTGAAATCAGTTCATGCTTCTTTCTGCTGACAAGATTTAAGGAGATGCTGATGTCATTTTCCTGCAGGACTCGGCTCCTGCCCAGACTGCCAAAAGTACCAAAAGCTGGTTATGTAAAATTTTAGTTTTCTAAGACAATGAATTGAGGTTTTTCATTATTTGTAAATCATAATCATCAAAATGAGAAGAAACAAAAGCTTAAAATATTCTACTCTAYGTGTAGTGAGTTCATGTAACAGATAGGTTTCAGTTTCTGAACTGGCTGACCAAAAAAATGAACTTTTTTCACAATATTCGAATGTTTTGAGATGCTCTTGTACTAAACCTTTGACCTCAAGTGGATGAAACCCAGACTTTTACTGATTCTCCAACATGATCTCAGGTGTTACAAAAGTTAGCCAAATCTCTGCAAATCATCTTATCAGACCTGAAAATCATTAAAAGTACAGGTATTTGTTGTTGCAGTCCTAAATCACTGCTGAAAAGACATTCATTTGACAAAAACAAAAGTTGGGGGAAAAAGGTTTCATTTTGGTTTTAGGCCAGCTAKTTAAATTAAAAATAACAACTCACGATATTAGCTGTACTATAGTGAAGTTATCAGTCTACTGTGTAAATGTTARCACGGCCACTTCTAAGAATTTAACTGCATCAACAAGAACATTGATGATAAAAATGTTCCTGAAAATGTTCTGGGAAATTTCTCACCTGCCACCAAACTTTGATGTGACGTTGGCACATGGACACGTGCTTTTTGTACCACAGAGTGATAAAAATATTTTCTTTTGTCCTAGTCATAATTACATACTTTCCAACATGTGTTCAAAAAGTCTAAAGACGTAAAAACATCAAACATCCTACCAGATGTGACTGTTCTTGTCACCAAACACATAGCTGTGAATAAAACACATTAGAAGTTCTTCATGTTTGGCTGATTTGGACATTAACGCCACTTTTCTTAGATATTTCTGGCTGTTATCAAATGGAAAATAGGAATGTTTCACAGAAAGAAGCCTCAAACMTATCAGAAAACAAGTTGGGTAACAATGAAACACAACTTTAAGTCTTGACAAAAACAGCTTTTCCCATTACGTCACAAAGGTTATACAGTTTGTTCAGTCTTCCACTTGTTAAGCACAGCGTTACAATCATTTGACTACATTTTAAAATCCACAAAGGGCAGTTTAATTTGAATGAACTTGAATKACCTCTGGGAATCTAAACAATAARTGTAAAAAATGTCARATGTATTTGATCWATGATTCTTTTTTGTTCCCAGTTCACTGATTACCAGAGCTACGTCATCCATGGCTGTCTTGTGGACAACCCAACTCTGGAGCGATCCATCGCTCTGTTCAATGGCGTGTCACAGTGGGTCCAACTGATGGTGCTCAGCAAACTCACCCCTCAGACCCGCGCAGAAGTGATCACCAAATACATCCATGTGGCTCAGGTAATTCACAGATRAGACATTCACTGCAATTTTTGATTTAAAAAAAAAAAAGGCTTAGACTCTCTTTTTTTCTTTAACTGTCTCTGTCCCTGTTGCCACATGACCTGTACACCTGTTCCCCCATGTTTGTCATGTGTGTCTTCTTGAATGGGTGTTCTTTTTTTTAGAAGTTTAGAACTTTATATCATTCAACAAACAAATAATAAAACAAACAATTAATACAAAACAAACACATTATAATATAAACAAACAAATCATTGTGTCAAAAAGACAATCACAACGTAGTCAAATGAAAAGGAGCAGAAAGAAGAATAAAATCTCATAATATCTGCCCCCAGTTAAAAAAATATGCATCTAAAAAAAGTACAATATACGTTTAATAAAACTTATCGTAATACACAATATAATTTCATATAATCAACAAACAGCATCACAACGCAAATACAAATCTTAACCAATATTTTGTTCATTTCTCATTTAGAAAAGAGTTTTAGTATTCAACTAAATAAATAAGTTGTTCCAGCATTCTTAAGGTCATCAAGCAATACACACACACACACACACACACACACACACACACACACACACACACACACACACACACACACACACACACACACACACACACACACACACACACACACACACACACACACACACACACACACACCTCTTTCTTCTTTTTTTCTTTTAAATATATATTTCATTTGAGAAAAAAAAACTACTACTTAAAAGAAAAAATTGCTCAAGGCACAAACAGCCTGTGAATATTCATATTCTTAACTGTTTGTACAGCACCTTGTGAATTTATTTCTGTGAAAGGTGCTATGAATAAAATTTTAATTACTTATTTACTTACTAAAGATATATTAAATAACCATCATTATCTGGATTCATTATATCAAAGAGAAAAACAGTTTAATGGTCAGAAATAAGATCTTCTACCCAGATGGTCAGACGAACATGCTGTGGCTTTCATTTAAAAACATCTTGGATGCACATGAAAATGTTGATAGCTACATAATTTAACAGCTTATTAACACCTTACTTAGTTATAAAAGCTGTACTATTTAAGTTTGATGTTTGACCAATATKACATTTCAAATTTTGGAATAAAAGAGACTCAGCATCTGGTCCAATATTTTACCATAGACAAAAATCCACATTAATCTCTGTGTTACGTCACTTTTTCTTTTRACAACCCTCAACAAGTKTTTGAGAACTGAGGACACTGTTGAAGCTTTGTAGGTGGAATCCTTTCCCATTCTTGCTTGATGAACAGGTTCAGTTGCTCAACAGTCCGGGATTCCTTTTGTATTTTGTGCTACATAATGCTCCACACATTTTCAATGGGAGACAGATGGACTGCAGACAGGCCAGTCTGGTTCCTGCACCCTTTTACTATGAAGCCATGCTGTTGTAACATGCAGAATATGTCTTGGCATTGTCTTGCTGAAATAAGCAGGGATGTTCATGACAAAAATGTTACTTGGATGGCAGCATATGTTGCTCCAAAACCTCTATGTACCTTTCAGCAATAATGGTGCCTTCACAGATCTGACAGTTAGCCATGCCATGGGCACTAACACACCGATACATTTTGTGATATCAATCCTGACAGTCCTTTTCCTTTTTGGACCAGAGGACACGATGTCCATGATTTTCAAAAACAATCTGAAATGTGAACTCGTCAGACCACAGGACACTTTTCCACCTTATGTCAGAATGCTGCAAACAGGCGTTTTTTGAGCATTCCTCAACTTTCCCAGCCTTTTGTTGCTCCTGTCCCAGCTTTTTTTGGAACGTGTTGCAGACATGAATATTAAATATCTTGTCTTTGTATTCAACTGTATATAGGCTAAAAAAGGATTTACAAAACATTTTTATTTATGTTTTATGCAACGTCCAAACTTAATTGGAATTGGGGTTGTATGTTCAGAGCAAGAAATTGATTTATAAGCACACAAGACTTTATGAACCATATAAAGATGTCAAATTAATATGCATCAGTAATTGTGAACATTACCAAAAATGAATAAATAAATAAAAATAAGCAGGCAAAACATGATTTCACAC